GTCACGGCTATGGAGGCCGTCTGTGAACTCTCTGCCTGTCCTGTCACCGCTATGGAGGCCGTCTATAAACTCTCGTCCTGTTCTGAACCAGCCATGGAGGCTGATTGTGATCTCTCTGTCCGTCTAAATGCTGCTATTGAGTCTGATTTTGAACACTCTGTTTTGCCAGTTTCTGTAAACAAGTCTGATCATGAACTGTCAGTCTATCCAGAATCTCTCCATGAATCTGTGTCTGAATTATCTGCCAGTCCCATATCCCTCAATGAACCTGACGTTAATTCACCTGTCTGTTTCCACCCCACTGACAATTCTGATGTCTTACTATCTGCCTGCCCAGTAATAGTTTTTGAGTTGTTTGTCAGTTCAGTTCCAGTCACTACTCTTGGTTATTATGCGCTCCCTGCCTCGGTCTTTGAGACTGTATATGCTCTGTCTGTCTCGTGTCTCAGTTTTTCCTAGGTCCCAGTCTCTACCATGGGTCTCTGCTCCGTCTGCTCCGCCGTGGTGGTCTTCTATCTGGCACTGGTGGTCTTCTGCTCCGCCATGGTGGTCTTCTTTCTGGCACTGGTGGTCTTCTGCTCCATCTGCTTCACCGTGGTGGTCTTCTGTCTGGCTCTGGTGGTCTTCTGTTCCGTCTGCTCCGCCGTGGTGGTCTTCTGTCTGGCTCTGGTGGTCTTCAGCTTCGCCGTGGGGATCTTCAGACTCGTCTGCTCTGCTGTGGTGGTCCTCAGTTCCACCTATCCTGCCGGCTCCGCCCTGGCATCCGGCTCTGCTGGCTTTGCCTCAGTCCCCTGTCCCTCCGCTTCCACATGGACCTGGCCCTCCATCCCTCCCCCTGTTCCGCCTCCGCTCCACCACCCTCCTGGATTGTACTATGTTGGGAGCGTCTGGAAGCCGCTCCTTGGGGGGGGGGCTCTGTCACGAATCCATTCCGTGGCCTTCCGTCCGATTGCCACCAGAGGTCGCCCTTCCATTATATTGACTTTCACACCACACAGACTGTTACATGTCACCCTGGACTACATTTCCCATGTTACACTGCACTGATTGGACTCACCTGCAGTCAATCACACACATACTATATAACACCCACTCAGATCCTGCTCAAGTCGCCGAGTATTGTCTGCGTTTATCGCTCTCCAAGTGTTAGCACTTTATGGAGCCATTTCCCAAAATCTACCGTCTTAGTTTCTAGTTCCTAGTCTCAGTTCCTAGTTCTAGTCTTAGACTCCGTTACAACGTCGATGACATTTACAGTATTAATTTTATTCTGAAGAGTGATGGAGAGGCAACATTAGTATGGTTTTCTTAACCCTCAGGTATTGCTTACTTTTAATGTATGGCTTACCTGTATGGCTCTTTATTAAATATATCTAGAATATTGCAGGTCATACCTGCTTACTTATTTTTAAGTTCTTCATTTGAATAAATATTTAGACACTAGACTTTTAAATGAGAAATTAAAAAAGTTAATAACTTACATCCTTTTTATTTATGATACTCGCATAATTACACACAACGAATGCAAGCAAATACTGAATTTAAACCAAGTTTAAAATGGTGCTAAAAAAAGCATTCAACAAAATATTTTTATCCCCTTATATTGACAGTATACAGTATATACACATGAATTTATATTGAATTGAGATGGAAAACCCTGATATTTTCTGCAATCATGCACTATGGCTGTAGAGGAAAGCAAATTTCCTTAAGGTGTGACTTCAGCTCCACTGTATCCAGTGTGTCCATACTCAAGGACACGATAGCTGGTGCATTTCCATCTAAAGCATGTCTGTATTAAGTAAGCACTGGGCCTGACCTGCGGGCCGGAGTCTGCTGTGACAGGCGTCTGACAGAGCGGTGAGGTCTGGACAGAGGCCTTCTCACCCTCAGCATCCTCATTCAGAATGTCCTCGGCTTTATCCATGATATCCTTCAGCTGCTCGATGAACATCTCCCTCTCCAGCAACAGAATAAACTCGTTCTCAACCTGGAGGAACATCAACAAGAACCAGCACTTTGAGCCCACTCATCTATCCAGGACAAGCAGATACAGTACGCCCATCTACCAATTAAGATTCAATTAGCTGTATATGAGGAACACTGTCTGAACATGACAATAAAGCATTAATGCAGTGGTTCTCCAAAAATGGTTGTGTTCTGACACACAGACTGCAGGACAAAAACAGATGTGTTATTTGCCACATACAACTAATGCAATGCTACCAACCACACAATTGTACATTTATGATTAAAAAAATAAATAAGAATTGTTTATCTTGTGTTGTTGCTGAGTATTTTTTCAGACACAAAGTGGAGTTAGTTCAGGTCTGCCAAGCAATGTTGCAACCTTACACATTAATAAAACATGTTCTGGATATAACAGCTTAATAGCCACACAGAATTTAGAGTCTATCATTTGAGTTCATTACATTTTTTTTTAATGAAATTAAAAAGTACTTCATTTATATGATTATAATAATTAAATAATCAGATGTTAATTCATGTTTAGTTTTACAGATTTGAAAAATTTTGGCCCATTCCTACTCCAAATCCTACCACACGTTTACATTAAGAAAAATAGCATCCATAAACTTTAGTACAGGAGTTTGAACTGCATCACCTCTGGGAGTTTGCCAGAAGAAGAGAAGGGCATATGAGGAGGGAGAGAGAAAGTAGAGGTGAAGATCTCACCATATATGTGGCAATCTCCTCTGGAGCATCTCCATCAAGGTCAAATTTAAACGTCACCATCTTATGGTTATGAGTCTCCAGCTGACACTCCACCATCTTGTCTCCTGTGTCACACACCTGTAACACAGTCACAGAGAATACAACAACAGGAACTTCAAAAAAATGCCTCCGAAAGAACTATGTCAACATTAACAGAAATGTTTCAAATTATTTTAGGTGTTCTAATGTCCAAACCAGCATTGACCTGTGAAACACTCAAACAATTATAAGCTTCACAAATCACTTTATTTTTGACAGCTAGCATCTAAACATCATGTTTGGACATTCTTCATCTGTGACTCACTTTGATCATGGTGAGTTTGGGTCTGTTGATCTTGTCTTGGCGGGAGCGCGTGCGGGACGTTTTGCGATTGGGTTTTCGCACTTGTGATTCACTGCGAGCTCTGCCGGAGCCCTCGTTCCCATCGCTCATCTCTTTACCTGATGTGGCATCTGAGTTTATACTGCAAAAGAACAGAGATCCGATCACTGAGCTTCTGCATGCATGAGGTTTGTAACTCCGAAAGCGTGCGAGATGAAAAAATAATACAGCACTGTTCTGTGAACAGAGAAACACACCTGTCATTCGTGGAACCAGCTGGTGCTGTCTGTTTATCAGGAACATGCTCCTAAAGTGCACAGAAGGCAATGAGTTCAACGGCAATGGCACATGATTCCAACAGAGATTGCTGTTTACGTGTTGCTAGGCTAAATATAAAGATATAAATATACAGCACTCACAAAAGCTTAGTAAGACAGTCCATTAATTGGACTAAACCAATGAATGAATTACATTCATAATAAACCTTATCTCCTGATGCTCCCTACTCAAATCTATGCATTACTGCCTGCCACTTTATTTTGAACACAATATTAGATAATGCAGCATCAAAACTGTTTATAGCTGTAAAGACTGATGATACAAAACAAATTTATGCCTGTAATTCAAATTTATTACAATGTACCTACAGTCTGGCCATGTCCAACGAACATCAAAATATGTAAATATGCAAGGATAATTTATGCTGACAGTCCTGGCAGAGAGTAATTTGAGGGTTTTAGGTTCTTCTAGTTCAGAAAAAAACCCCTCTGGTTTACCTCTCTCTCAAATAGTATGTAAATACATATGAAGAGTTCAGATGCAAAAGCCTCAAAGTGCCATCTGAAACTTTCTTCTAAAATGAGCATTTTTATCAGACTCCTATGTGTAGGTTCAGTAATTTCACTTTAATGGCAATGAATAGGTTATTTTCATTGCCATTAAAGTGAAATAACTGAACATAAACATAGGAGTCTGATAAAAATGTTAATTTTAGAAGAAAATTTCAGACGGCACTTTGAGGCTTTTGCATCTGAACTCTTCATATTCATATTTTTATTTATACAGCTGTATATACAAGTAAAAAATGCACATATCTGTACATTAATCTTCTGTTCCATTCATGACGCATTATTATTAATATTATTATTATTATTTATTTTTAGTTTTTTCTTTAGTCTTATTTAAATGTTCTTTCTGTTCTCATGTCATATGTATGTATGTATGCATGTACCAAGAGCTCCTAAAAAACCACAACAACTTCCTTGTGTGTTTGCACACACTTAATAAAGCCAATTCTGATTTTGATTCTGAAAATTAAATGTGAAAACACCCCACTCATGATCACATGGTCGTAAACGGCAATGATACTTCCTTCAAGTGACCAGTGCATGTACTGTACACATCACTAATGGTGTTTCGAGGTTGTTGCTGTATTATGGGATTTTCATTTGAAGAAGAGCTTCACCTCAGAGCATACTTCAGTGGGAGCTCCTCCACATCCACTGGTGCTGTGCTGCTGCTGCAGCGCTGGCTTTACACTGCTGTTCTGCTGGCTCAGGCTGGCACCGGCTCCTGAATGCGGGACGGTGGGTAAAGAGGCTGGGCTGGAGTGCTGAGGAGCCTGGTTTGGGTCCACGGGCACCGCAGAGCCGAATGTGTCGAGGATGGGTCTGAAGGGCGAGAGCTGTGGTACTGCGGGAGGCTGAGGCGCATTATGGCTGACGCTGGAGCTCGGGGCAGGAGCTGGAGTCAGGTGTGTCATCATCTGAGAAACATGGACGTGATCGGAGCTACTGGACGAGTTCTGGTCCACGTGAACAGTTTGGGAATGGCTGGTCAAGACTCCCTGAAAAATGTAAGATTTTTTTTTTTAAATAAATGAATAAGTAAGACTCATTCAATTTCAATTAAATTTCAAATCTATAGTTTAAAAAATGGGAAACTACAACCTTTGGATAAACATTCATAAAATCTGAATTTGAATATTAATACTGAATTATAGGATGGCCGATCAAGCATTTTTTTTACTTATCGTTATCAGCTCTCCTAAGCCCGATCCTTATTTTACATCGGCTGCATGCCAGGGTCATGCAGTGGGTGGCGGTGTGCGCCTTTAGGTGGGTTTGCCAACCGTTTTGGATTTGACTGATAGACTGGCATTCTGACACTTCATGCTTTCTAACCTTATGTTGTAATTATTCTGGTTATTGTACATATAAAATATAAGAAGTTTATATCATCAGTCCCATATTCATAATTGTGACAACACAATCTGTTTACAATGGTTAAAATTGTAGCATGTTTACATCTACCAAAGTCTTTATATAGTGTGTGCATAGAGAGAGAGTGTATCTTATTATAATAATTTTAATTATATTACATTATATTATATTACATATACATACATATATTAATTTTACTGTCTGCGCAACTCGGTATAAATTGGATTGATTTTAATAACTTTAATGTACTTGAATTGTGCACCAAACACTAGGAATTTACAAGTATCGGATCGGGACTCAGTATCGGAGGATACTCAATATTCAATGACTCAGATCGGATCGGGGGCACAAAAAAACCTGATCAGGACATCCCTACCGAATTAGTATGGTAGTAAATATTTCCTCTGAAAACCATTGTGACTGTGATTCAAAAGTAAGCATTCAATGTGCCAATTTTTGTGCGAACTATCCCTTTAAGACACTGACATACCCTACCTGGGTGGGCGGAGCTTGTATAGTGGGAGGGACCCTGGCACACATAGAGGCGGGGTTTGGAGTGGGGTGGAGACTTTGGTGCGCTGTGGGTGTGGCCTGACTGTGGGAATGTTGGGAGAGAGTGGCCATGGAGTTTATGGCGGGCTGCTTAGCAACAGAATAGGCCTGCTGGTACTGGTGAATTGTGGGAACTGGAGGCGCGAACACTGGAGCAGCAAAGGGTGGAGCGGGACATTGTGTGGGTATAGGAGAAGTGGAGGACAGGTGGGGGTACTGGGTTAGCGCAGAGATCTCCATCTGCGAACATGACACTGGCGAGATGTTGGGGTGTGTCGGGACAGGCAGACTGAGGGATGACTGCACAGAGGGAAAGCAGGCGGGGTACGGGTCACATCCAGGAAGAGGGGTCCTGACTGACTGAGCTGAGTTAATGGAAGGAAACTGGAGGAGGAGACAAAAGTGCATTGTAGCATGGGAAGAATAACCACCATCATGAACAGAAGAGCTAAACGCATGCTAAATTTGGCCAGTCAAAAGTGGCCACTTTGTACATTGGACACAATACTACACAAATCACCAGGGATGCACGATATTAGATTTTTGCTGATATCCGATATGCCGATATTTTTCAAATCATTTTGGCCAATAGCCGATGCCGATATATGTTTTGATGATATTTATTTTGAAACAATATAACTTATATACTTAACTCTCCAGTGCGGAGATTATGAACAAATTATTTTACTTTTGAGCAAAAAAAGTCTTCGTTAGAAGTAATAAACATTTTTTTTAATGAGAGTACATTGAAAGCTTGAAAATAATTAATAAAATGAATCTTTTCTCAGACAGATGCAGTTGAAACCTGATTTTATTTGTTAATAAAGATTTTATTTGTGGATTTAAAATTAATAGATTGTCTAAAGCAAAAGAGCACCTTTTATTTAAGTTTTCATAATCCATTTGAATAAAAATATATTTGTGTATTTTATTTTCATTTTATTACAAATAGGCCAACAGTGCCTCCTAAGTAAATAAAACGCCTTACCAGACGGGCATTAGGACCTGGGGGAGGCTGTCGCTGCTGCTACTGCACGTGCTAGAAACTGCTGACTCTCTCGCACATGGACACGTCATTCTGTATGTGCATTCTCAGATTAAATGCAGTGATCCAAAACAATGAATCTAATCATCATTCAGGCAAAAATTCGCTTCAAGACTGACCTCACTACTGACATGCTCTTATCACTATCACAACCTGAGCACATGTGAGCTATTTGTCTTATCGGCAAGGCATATCGGCATCATTTTTTTCAAATCGGCCAATGCCGATATTTACATTTTTAGCCTTTATCAGCCGATTCCGATAAAGTTCTGATAATATTGTGCATCCCTACAAATCACGCATCTGAGAAGCAGAGGAGCTGGCAGAAGGGAGTACCTGTGTGAGGTAAGCTGGAGGAGGAGGAGGAACAGGTTGTGTCAGCAGACTGGAGGTAGACTGTCCTCCTTGCTGCCAGCTGTCCATCAGCTGTGTCTGAATGGAGAGCTAATAGGATAGAAAGAGAGAAATACAAGTGTGCAAAGAGAAAACAAGATGACTCAAGAAAACTCAGAGGAGGTTTGCAGATGTAGGTCACTCTTGTCTTTCACAGTCAGTCTACAGTAGGGGTGTCCAGTTCTGCTCCTGGAGATTTACCTTCCTGCAAAGTTCAGCTCAAACCTTGAAAAAATACATTTGAAGCAGCTCATTAAGATCTTTAGGAAAACTTAATTACAGATGTCTGTTGGGGCAGGATTGGAGCTGAATTCTGTAGATCTCCTGGAACAGGATTGGGCATCCCTATGGCCAGTTACATAAACTTAGATTAAGCTTACAAGTTAGTCAGTCATCATCTTTTTTTCTTTAAAGCCTTCTGTAGACTGCAGAATTGTAGCAATCCTACAAGATCATTGCAAATCACACTGTGCGACATGGATCTAATAAACTCGGGTACGACATGTCTGCAGACTGTACGATGATGACACCAATTGACACAGGCTACGACGCAAGTTACTATTGAAGAATAAAAATGTCATCAGCATGCGCTAGTGGTAAACAAAAAGAGCATGACTAATCACACTTTGGCAATTGTAGTTTATACTGTATGTGTGCTGAAAAAAGTGGAAGTGGTGAAAGAGGAAGGGATAAGAGCTTGAGGTTAGCAGTTTTAGGTTTTAGCTCCATGTCGCGTTGATTTCATGTCGCATTTTTTATTGGCTGGTCAGCAAACGTGGGTCGTAGCAGCAAACACTGAGCAATGATCATGCTGAATTTCTGACACTGTCAGAAAATTATCGTAGGCTATCTTTGGTCACGAGACCGTGACAATGTCTGTCTTTGAACCTCTCTCACTGTACGACACAGGACCACCGATTAGGAGCTGCGATCATAGAAATCACCACGATTGTTTCACGATGCCAATCTTTCGTCTGGACAGCTGAAAATCGTGCAGTGTATCCCAGGCTTTAAGGGATCCTATTATGCATTTTTACATTTACATTATTTCTTTTAGTGTGTAATGCTGCTGTTTGTGCATGAAAAAGATCTGCAAAGTTACAAAGCACAAAGTTCACTCCAATGGGAGTTATAGTGCTAGGGGGGTCCACGTAAAAGTTGAGAAAATAAAAAGAAGATGACAAACAAGCATACCTGTGGGACAGGTGGTGCAGGGCCTGTCTGGCTCAGCTGCACAGGAGCAGTTTGCTGCATGTTTGAGAAGTCTCGGAGTTGCCCATCTGTTGTGGCATTTGCAGTGAGTTGCTGCAAATGTTGTAACACAGGTGTTTGTCGAGTCTGTGCAGATGCTGGTGGGATATGCTGCACGGTGGAGGCTCCGCTCTGAAAGCTCTGATCTGCAGGCAGCGCTGCTTCTGTTTTAGATGGGAGACTGTGTGCAGCTGCGACTGCAGTGAGCTGCACAGGTGGAAATGTCTGTGCATTTGCTAGCTCTGCCCCGGCAGGATGGTAACTCGGACCCGCGGCACTCTGTGGCACAGAGAATGGCTGATGCGACGCTGCAGTTTGGAGCGTGTGGGCCTGTGCTTTCAGCTCGGTAGTCTGACCTGTAGGTGCAAGCTGTTGTTGATCCATGGTTTGCGGTGCGATCGAGACACCCTGCAGAAGCGCCAGCGGCAGGGGAGTGGACAGATTCTGTCTGGCGGCCTGCGCGGGGGTCTCTGAGGAGACAGGAGGGAACGTCTGCATGTGTTGAGCTGCGGCAGGTGCAGCCTGGCTTTGGACTCTCAGAACAGAAGACTGCAGAAGAGGAAACAAACTAATGAGAACCAATACACTTCTACTACATAACACAAATTATAGGCCAGATTTACAGAACAGGGCAAATTCGCATTAGACCACAATCCCATAAAAGCACTGATGGGAATGGAAAGTTCTGCTGTTAATCTTCTGACAATGCACAAATGAGAGAACACAGCACATCTACATAATGACCGCAATCTACCAAGAGCGGTGCAAACTAACGTAGGGTTGACAAGTAGGTGCAGGTAATCTACTAACAACACAGGCACAAAATAAGGCATGCTTTTTGGGGGTGTTAAATAATGGTGCAAATACCTCTAAACTGACTAGCGCAAACCTTACTACATGTTACATGTGGTGTCCCTCAGGGTTCAACTTTGGCACTGTTACTGTTTTCACTGTACGTGCTACCTTTTGGTTCTATATTTAGGAGATATGGTGTGTCATATCCATAGACTGTATAAAAACATGGACGTAGTGTCAATGACGTCACCCGTAGGTTTCTGAAGAGCATTTTTGAAGCCCAAAGTGGGCGGAGCCGGCCATCGCCATCTTGGCAATACATCACTCCTGGATGACTGAGAATGGGCAAAGAGGCGGGATGTGGGTGGAGCTGGTTGCTGAAACCACACCCGCCTAGCTTAATGGTGGTGACAGCAGTGGCAATCCTCCTGTCACTCAAGTGGCCACACCCTTAATTATGCAGAACTTTAAGGCTTACTATAATTTAAATAGACGAGTTACAAAAAAAAATCACCCCCTCACAGTTGTCATGAAGGGCAAAATTAGCTATAGACCAAAACCACTTGTACCACTTGTAAAAGCACTGTACCAGGCTGTAAAAAAAATGTTCTGCTGTAAAGTTGGGCATTTTAACATGGGGGGTCTATGGGACTGACTCCCTTTTGGAGCCAGTCTCTAGTGGCCAGTCGATGAATTGCAGTTTAAGTCACTTCATTGTTGGTTTCAAGAGAGAGACCGGAAAGTTGTTAAACAATCTTGCTCCTCGATACCTTTCAGAGTTGATTACTGAACACAACCCAGTCAGATTACTCAGATCACAGACCAGTCATCTTCTTCGGGTACCCAGATCTAGACTGCAATGCAGGGGTGTCAGAGCTTTTGCAGTAGTTGGACCCAACTTAAGGAATAACTTGCCATTATCAGAACAGTGACTACAGTGTCTGAGTTTAAAAGTCTTTTAAAAACCTATTTGTATTCTTGTGCTTTCAATGTCCTGTGAATGTCTATTTTAATGTGGGTGATGGATTAACGCAATTTTGTACAGCACTTTGGTCAACCGCTTTATAAATAAATTAAACTTGAAACTTACTAAATCACCTTGCATGAATACTCTGTTCCCTTTGTGTCTGAAAGGGAAACACCTACAAATGCATATGCAATAAGGTCAGCCACAAAAATAACTTTGTCCACGCCTTTTCATTACAAATTTTTCATCACAGGTCTTTAGTAGTTTTTTAAAGCTAAAACTGTTGGTAAATCTGGCCCATTCTTTAGTATGTTGGATTGTTAAATAAAACAGCACATGTCAACAAATGCTACAATGAGTAATAGCAGGCATGCAGATCACACACAACCAGGTTAAGTGAATGAAAACATAAATGATTCATAAAGAAGGTTAGCAGCATGACATCAGGCATATCGTAAGCGTGGTTAATGGATAGGTTTCGGGGAGTTGGGATCTCCTCTGTAAGAGAACGGCCACACCTGCAGGATAGGTAAGTACGGTTACAGCCGCCGAGAAGAAGTGCAAAGGAGAAGAATGCATCTGAGCATATTAGACTGATTAGAAGTCCTACAGGCACCTGGGAGCAACAGCAGACCCACTGCAAAGGCTGGAGAAAACCAGAGCTTTCCTCTAAAGTAGCAAGGCGACACCGTGTCCTCCACCTACCGCATCAGCCAGAGAGCGCTCGCCAGCACAAAAACTGGCTCTGCGACGGGAGGTCAGTGCATCACGAGGCGGCTCCAGGGTGTGCCCCTCATCGCTGTGGCTGAGGGCAGGCCGGTACTGCCCTCTCTCGGGCTGATGTCTGTGGCCCGTGATGCTCTCCAGAGATTTGTTAAGCTGGGAGAGGTCAGAGGTCTCACTGAAGGAGCCTCTGCGGACATCAGGTACGTGAGGAATTGGAAATAAAGAATAGGGCGAATGTCTTCTATCTGCACATGTCCCAAGCAGAAATAAGGATAAGCAGACCTGACACGGGGACGGTGGCTGGTGAGGGGTGGGGTTTAAAGAAAGCCGACGCCCCTGCCTTGCCATTGAGATAGACTCCTCCCCCTTTGTCTCAGAGGATGGCCCCACTGATGTGTCGCTATAGCGGCGAGTCGTTACAGGCGAAGGAGCGAGCAGCAAATTTCCAGAGGGATAACTTCCCAGTCCGTCTTCTTTCATCTCTGATTGGTCTCGTGGTATTTGAAAGGAGGCAGGACTTGTGGGTCGGAGCAGGAAATGGATTAACTCATTTACAGAAGAGCTTTCATGATGTGCACCCTGGAAGAAAAGCCACTTCTCTGAACTATTATCATTAAATGACAAACAAGGGTCTCTAGCACAGAGCTAATAACACACAACAAATAAAGGACACAACAAACTAGATGCGTACATTTCTTGAGGAATACTGAGTGAGGTTTGAATGTGCTAAATTGCTTTGTGTGTGTACAGTGCAGTATATAATCATTATAAAAATATCTATGACTGTTTAGGATTTTAATTGCCATAGCTTTTCCAGGTGTAGAAATCCCACTTTAAAACTCCCTCATATATCCAGGTTTTCAAAGACCATGAAAATCATCGTTCATAAATAAAAATGACAGCTGTTCAAAAGTACTCAACACCAAGTCTCAATGATATTTAGTTCTGTAGACATAGATTTATTTTGTAATTTTATCATCTAGGTGAAAATTTCACATCTGATAGCTTGTAACAGTAAAGGCACATCTCTCCTCAACAACCTGCATTAAGGGTGGGCAATATATAATACCGGTAGACATGATTAACCGGTAGAAATTTGTCAACAGGTAGAGATTTTGTACCATCTTTTCTATCGAAGTTACATGCTCATGTGACGTGCAATGTGGTCATGAAAACTTATCGTTTGCATGCATTTATAAGCATTACGATTTTAAAACAAGTGACTTTAAGCTGCTGACAGAGAACTCATTTTACTATATGTGCGCTCTGTCTGAGAGACTGTTTCTGAACGCTGTCAGAGAGACACGCGCACTTGGAAGATGCTTCTCACAGAGCACGGGAGTATTGAACATTACTAAAATAACAGTTATTTTTGCCGCTTTATAGGCTATGAACAGTTAAACACACACACTTGTATATGTCAAAATGCTCGTCTTTGCAAGTATCCTCGTAAACACAGCAATTTAGGTCTTAAGTGAAAGCAAACAGCCGAGAAAAAAAAAACACGTGTGTAAGAGTATATTGGATCCGGGCAACTCTTAATGTGACAGCAGTCTAATATTCCTGCTGTCTCTCATTCATGATAATCAAACAACAAAAGAGAGATAATCTCTCACTGCTCTTGCCTATATCACTTTTTTTAACTTTAATAAGGTAGTACATATAGCGGGTTCGTGGAAAAAAGCCCATTCAAAAAAATTGCCATTGGACCAATAGTGCTCCGGATGGATCGCAGGGTGAATTTGGATCCCCTTAGCCTGTTTTCTAAAGGGGGACTGGGACGTTTCTGCTTACCCCGCCCCCCGCACGCTCCGATTTGCTGACCCCGGAATAGGGGGGTTTTGGACACACGTAGGGGGCGACACCGACCTGTTGAGCCCACCCCTCCGGCCACGGAACCTTTGAATGTCCGATTCCAATCATTTTCGGGGACAAAATGGGGTAGTCGATCCCAAAACCCTACTATTTGTGCATTCTCCCCTTGAAATGACTGTGCAGGGCTCTTACCCCAGAGCCTGTGCGTCCACAGTTTCGGTATTTGTCCATCTCTCTACCAGGGTACATGGGTTGGCCCCCTTGGCCAAGGGCCTCGTCCCACGAACCCACTATTTGTCCATTTCGGCGCTAAGATGGCGAAACGGCCCCTCGACCCCTGCGGACCACCGCCTCGCCTCCGGGCCCCTCCCCCCAGGTCCCACGAACCCACTATTTGTCCATTTGCCCACTATTGTGACGGATCAACCCCGGACCCCCGCGGACCCCCTTGGCCACGCCCCCAGGTCCCACGAACCCACTATTTGTCCATTTGCCCACTATTGTGACGGATCAACCCCGGACCCCCGCGGACCCCCTTGGCCACGCCCCCAGGTCCCACGAACCCACTATTTGTCCGCTTACCCACTATTTTTGCGGAACGTGTCCGAACGCGGCTCTAAGGCGGGTGGCAGGCGCCCCCGATCCGCAGACGTTCACCGGCGCCCTCCCTGGCTGTTTTACGACTTCCGGCCAAAGACGCTCCGATCGGCCCGCGCTCTCAGCGGAGCGTGCCGGGGGCTCCCACGGACTCCCACGTAAAATTTGGGGCCCCTGGGACATTTCCAACTTAAATCCCACTTGCAATTTATTTGAATGGGTTCAGCCTAGCGGTTTCGTGGACGCGGCTCCGAAAGGGCCGATCGACTAGAGGGCGCCATTTTCGTATCGTCAGGGGTCCCTCTAGCGGGCGGAAAAGTTAGGTGACCCTGCGATCTCGTTCGGGGGTCAAAAGGTCAGAAAAGAGACTGCAGTCCACGAAACAGTTGCGCGCTTCAGTGGGAAGCGGGACGTCCCCCGTACGGGGACGACGGGTGGTAGGGCTCCGAGATTTGAGATTATCGCATCTCAGGGGCCCCTCTCTCATGGCCCTGAGGTACGAAGCCGTACGACCCAAAACAAGTTTTCCCTTCACTGTAAGGCCCCAGCACCTTCAGGACGTCGCTCGGGCGGGACCTAGGGGCCACCGTGCCAAAGGGGGCGACACCGACCTGTTGACCCCACCCCTCCGTCCATGGAGCCTTTCAAGGTCCGTTTCCAATAATTTTAGGGGGCAAAATGGGGTAGTCGATCCCAAAACCCTACTATTTGTGCATTCTCCCCTTGAAATGACTGTGCAGGGCTCTTACCCCAGAGCCTGTGCGTCCACAGTTTCGGTATTTGTCCATCTCTCTACCAGGGTACATGGGTTGGCTCCCTGGGCCAAGGGCCTCGTCCCACGAACCCACTATTTGTCCATTTCGCCGCTAAGATGGCGGAACGGCCCCTCGACCCCTGCGGACCACCGCCTCGCCTCCGGGCCCCTCCCCCCAGGTCCCACGAACCCACTATTTGTCCATTTCCCCGCTATTGTGCCGGAACGACTTTGACCTCGACCTTTCACCGCTTGCCTTCGCCCTCTCCCACTAACTCACTATTTGTCCGCTTACCCACTATTTTTACGGAACGCGTCCGAACACGGCCCTAAGGCGGGGGGCAGGCGCCCCCGACCCACAGACGCTCACCGGCTCCCTCCCTGGCTGTTTTACGACTTCCAGCCAAAGATGCTCCGATCGGCCCGCTCTCTCAGTGGAGCGCGCCGGGGGCCCCCACAGACCCCCAAGTAAAAATTTGGGGCCCCTGGGACATTTCCAACTAAATCCCACTTGCAATTTATTTGAATGGGTTCGGACTATCGGTTTTTATGGACGCGGCTCCGAAAGGGCAGATCGACTAGAGGGCGCCATTTGCGTATCGTCAGGTGTCCCTCTAGCGGGCGGAAAAGTTAGGTGACCCTGCGATCTCGTTCGGGGGTCAAAAGGTCAGAAAAGAGACTGCAGTCCACGAAACAGTTACGAGCTTAAATGGGAAGCGGGACGTCCCCCGTATGGGGGCGACGGGTGGTAGGGCTCCGAGATTTGAGATTATCGCATCTCAGGGGCCCCTCTCTTGCGGCCCTGAAGTACGAAGCCGTACGACCCAAAACAAGTTTTCCCTTCACTGTAGGGCCCCAGCACCATCAGGACGTCGCTCGGGCGGGACCTAGAGGCCACCGTACCAAATTTGGGGTCTCTGGGCCCATTCAAGAGCAATCCCACTTGCCATTTATTCAATGGGTTTAATATAAATTGAAGAAGGAATGTTTTCTGTTTTAAACTAGAAAGTGGAGAGGGACTTTCCCAGTCCTCTTTCTAGTCTATTTGTGTGTAAGTGTCCTCTTGCAATGTATGTGCAGGGTTTTCCATAGCGATGCAGTGGACACGAGAAGCAACAGGTCGCTGGACTTGGACCTTCAACTAGAGGGCGCCATTTGCGTATCATCAGGGGTCCCTTTAGCGGGCGGAAAAGTTTGGTGACCCTTCGACCTCATTCGGGGGTCAACAGGTCGAAAAAGGTACCGCGCGTCCACGAAACAGTTGCGCACTTAAATGGGGAGAGGGACGTCCCCCATTCGGAGACCATAGGACATAGGGCCCTGAGATCCGAGATTCTCACATCTCAGGGGCCCCTCACTCATGGCCCCGAAGCACGAAACCGTACGACCTTCTGAACAAAAGCACTTCTCCTTAAGCATGAAAGCACTCGAAAGGCTCTGACTGTGTAAAAGACAAAGAGGGCTAAGGGAGAGATTCTGTGCAGAAGGCCTCAAACTTTTCCCTTGGCTCTAAGGCCCGGCGCCTTTGGGACGTTGCTCAGGGCCGGCCCAGGGGCCACCGTGCCGAGTTTCGGGCCCCTGGGACCTTTCTGAATAAATCCCACTTGCCACTTATTCGAATGGGTTCGGCCTAGCGGTTTCGTGGACGCGGCTCCGAAAGGGCCAATCGGCTAGAGGGCGCCATTTGTGTATCGTCAGGGGTCCCTCTAGCGGGCGTAAAAGTTTGGTGACTCTTTGACCTCGTTCGGGGGTCAACAGGTCGAAAAAGGGACCGCGCGTCCACGAAACAGTTACGCGCTTAAATGGGAAGCTGGACGTCTCCCGTATGGAGACGGAAGGTCACCGGACCCCGAAACTCGGCACGCATCGCCGTCTTGGGCCCCTCATTTGGGCCCCCGAGTTTGAGGGCCCTAGCCACTTCCTAAGCCATTTAAGTCCGGCCGCGAGTCTCACTGAAATCGGGCCTGTTTCTGGGTCTCTCCCATTGACTTCAATGGCAGACAGAGAAACGGATGAAAAATCAGGAAAAATCTTTTTTGGGGTCCCAGACCCGGGCCCTTTCGGAACATCGCTCCGGGGCTCCTGACGCAACTGCGTGTACAATTTGGGCCCCCTGCGACCTTCCTAAATAAATCCCACCCTCCATTTATTTGAATGGGCTTACCGTACAGGGTTCGTGGACACGACTCGACTTGCCACTTATTCGAATGGGTTTGGCCTAGCGGTTTCGTGGACGCGGCTCCGAAAGGGCCAATCGGCTAGAGGGCGCCATTTGTGTATCGTCAGGGGTCCCTCTAGCGGGCGTAAAAGTTTGGTGACTCTTTGACCTCGTTCGGGGGTCAACAGGTCGAAAAAGGGACCGCGCGTCCACGAAACAGTTACGCGCTTAAATGGGAAGCTGGACGTCTCCCGT